GGGTGGAATTTCAAGGGGGAAACGGCAAAGCTCTCCAAGGAGGTACTTGGGTGGCCTAGCATTGAAGACAGAGAAAGACTGCAGAGAGAACCAAGCAACCAATAAATCCTGGTTATCCATTTAAATATAGCCACAACTTTAGTACAATAAGCCTTAGCCACAGTGGCACAGGGAGTTGGACTCAGCTCTCTGGCGACTGGCACACAAGCTACATTGAATTGGCAGAGGAGGAGCTGGCTTGCTCACAGTCCAAATATGAATGACGCATTAAGTGTGAATTAGAAAAAAAAAAAAAAAAAACACAACATTTTAAGACATGTGTGGCCTCTTCTCTCTCCTGGCTGTTTTGGAATCAGTGTTTCATTCATGGAAACAGAATCACAAGTAAAACCTTACTGGATTTTAACTTCTCAATCAATATGGAGTCATTTTTGACATGATCCTGTAGCACCTATTTTCTTTTCTTTATTTTTCTTCAACAACAATGTTTAAAACAAATTAAATGTAGATTTGAATACAGTCCCACACTGGTTACCTTCTTTGGCAGGAGAATCCTCAAACATAGTTTGGAAGTGACGTCTATACACATCAAGTTAACTAGAATGTAGCAAGTAACACCAAATCACGGGCTTATCAAGAACATTAATTAGAAAAAGGTCCTGATAGTGGTCGTTTAAACAGTAAGACATCAGTGAAGAAAGACATAAAGAAGAGATATAATGGATTGCCTGTTAATTTTCATTTTATTGTAATTTGCACATTTCAAATAACCTGAACAACAAAACAGCCAACTAGGTTAATGATTTACGTCAAGTCTTCATTTCCAACAAAGTTAGTAGATTACTGCATGAAAACAGACTGTTGATGGAAACTGTTGGAAATGAACTCCCTCAAATTTTTTGTTTGTTTGTTTGTTTGAGACGGAGCAAGGCTGGAGTGCAGTGGGTTTGATTTGGGCTCACTCCAAGCTCCACCTCCCGAGTTCACGCCATTCTCCTGCCTCAGCCTCCCTAGTAGCTGGGATTACAGGCACCCACCACCGCGCTCGGCTAATTTTTTGTATTTTTAGTAGAGACAGGGTTTCACCGTGTTAGCCAGGATGGTCTGGATCTGCTGACCTCATGATCTGCCCGCCTCCACCTCCCAAAGTGCTGGGATTACAGGCGTGAGCTACTGTGCCCGGCCGAAGTCCCTCAATTTTTAAACAGCAGTAAGTTTTTATATTGTTATTTTAGGGGAACCCTTTTCAGGGCTATAGATTCGTGTGAGAATAGATTCATGTGAGGAGAGATCATGTAGGTTCTTCTTTATTTTCTAGAGTTGGCTATTTAAAAGCCTACTGCTGAGAAAAATGAAAGGGATATCTTATGCCTGTCCCATCTTTCTATTTTGGAGTCAGATAACTTGTTTTCCACCAGAGTCTCAGTCATACCTGACTTAGATGATTTAGAAGATGAGATTTTGGAACTTTTTTTTTTTTTTTGAGATAAAATCTCGCCTGTTGCCCAGGCTGGAGTGCAGTGGCAGGATCTCCGCTCACTGCAAGCTCCGCCTCCCGGGTTCACACCATTCCTGCCTCAGCCACCTGAGTAGCTGGGACTACAGGTGCCCGCCACCGCTCCCGGCTAATTTTTTGTATTTTTAGTAGAGACAGGGTTTCACCGTGGTCTGGATCTCCTGACCTCGTGATCCGTACGCCTTGGCCTGCCAAAGTGCTGGGATTACAGGCGTGAGCCACCGCGCCCGGCCTGGACTTTTTTTATGTAGTTGTGCGTGGATGAGATTTTGGATTAGAAGCTGAGGCTAGAATGGGTTAAGCTTTTGGATGGAGGTGAATGCATTTTGTACATTGCAAGAATATAATTTCATTGGACCAGAGAGTAAAAGGGTGTAGACTGAATAGTATCACCAAAAAAGTCATGTCCAGCTGGATTCTCAGAATGTGGTCTTATTTGGGAATCAGGTCTCTGCAGATATAATTAGTTGAGAGGAGTCATAATGGATTAGGTTGGGCCCTAAATCCAATATGAATGGTTTCCTTGTAAGAAGACAGAGATGCAGAGCAACACAGAAAGAAGACTCTGTGAAGACAGACGAAAGGACTGGAGTGATGCAACTACAAAGCAAGAAATGCCAGGGATTGCTGGCAACAGAAGCTAAAAAAAGTAAGGAAGTATTCCTCTCTAGATCCTTCAGAGGAAGCAAGGTCCTGCTGACACCTTGATTTCCAGCTTTTAGCCCTCAGAACTATGACAAAATACATTGTTGTTGTTTAAAGCAGGACTTCCCAATCCCCAGGCCAGGGACCTTGGAGTATTCTCATAGGAGCATGAACCCTATTGTGAACTGTGCATGTGAGGGATCTAGGTTGCGCAGGCCCCATCTCATCCTACCCCATCCCGCTCCATGGCAAAACTGTCTTCCAAGAAACCAGTCCCTGAGGCCAAAAAGACTGGGAACTGTTGGTTCAAAGGGAATAAGAAAAATCTCTGTGAAAAGATATAAAAGTAGTTCTACTTTGGTGGCAAAAATGGAAATACTATATATCTGTGTATGTGTGTGTATATTTATATCTATACCCACATAAACACTGGAAAAGTAAATGATAAAGACAGGATAATGTTTTAGAGAGTTCATAAAAATGAGCTGGAAGAATAGGAATGGGAGTGATGTTTTTCTGAGTATTTTGATATTTGAACTCTATATTAAAAATTAAAAAATAATTAAATCTAAAGAATGAAAAAGAAAATTCTCAATTGGAGTTTAAATAGAAATAAGTGAATCCAATCATATATTGAAATGACTGGTGAACTAGGTAGAAAAAAATTCATACAGTTTTGGACATAATATCTGACTATATATCCAAAATAAATTACATGGCCAATTGAGAGAACTTAAATATGATTTGTATATAAGATAGTATTATGAAATGATTTGTAATTTTCCACATTTCCAAAAATTTCCCAAATTTCTATAAACACTTCCAAAAAATATTGTGTATTTTCGGAGAGTGGTAATGGTATGTGGTATTCTTTTTTTTTTTTTTTTAGAGACAGTGTCTTGCTCCATTACCCAGGTTGGAGTGCAGTGGCATGTTCATAATTCACTGCAAATTCACACTCCAGGGTTCAAGAGGTCTTCCTGCTTCAGCTTTCCAAGTAGCTGGGACTACAGACACATGACAGTGTGCCCAGTTAATTTTATAAAATGTTTATACAATTTTATAATTTATATTTTAAAATTTAAATTCTAAATTTTTTAATTTAATTTAATTTTATTGTTTCCTCGGTAGAAATGGAGTTTGACTGTGTTGCCCAGGCTCATCTTGAACTAATTTTAATTCTTTTTTTCTTGGTAGAGGTGGGGTTTCACTGTGTTGCCTAGGCTTATCTTGAACTCCCGGCCTCAAGGGATCCTTCCGACTTGGCCTTCCAAAGCGCTGGGACTACAGGCGTGAGGCTGGCCTTGTTATTCTTAAGAGATGCATTTTATATTTTTTAGAGAAACATTGTCATAATGCCTACAACTTACTTTTAAATAGATTATATACATAGTTAACAATAATGTTTACATGTACACGTAATTGTGTACTTGAAATTTACTAAGATAATAGATCTTAAGTATTCTCACCACACACAAAAAGGTAACTATATGGTGTGATTAATAAGTTAATTAATTTGATTGTGGTAATCATTTTAAAATGTACATGTGTGTCATATCATCATCACATTGTATACCTTAAGTACATACAATCTTTGTCAATCATACCTCAATAAAGCCAGAAAATATGCAATATAGGGAAAACACATAAAAATATATAATTTTTAACTTTTGAGCTTGATTTTGTTGCCAAATCATATCAGTCATTCCATGAAATACCCATATAATATAATGGTTAAGAACACAATTTCTAGAACTAGAAAATCTAGGTTTAATCCCAGCTTTAGCTTTATAATCTCAGGTAAGTTATTTAACCTCTGTGTGCCTCAGTTTCCTCAGCTGCAAAATTGTGATAACAATAGTACCTAGCTCATATAAAGTTAAACACACACAAATAGAAAGAAGAAACTGTGTACATGTATATATAAATAATATTAATATACATATATAATTAGCAAATATAAATAAAAGGCATATGGCAATCACTATATTCTCCTTTATGCATTCTGTAGGCTTGAACATTTTCAAGATAGCTGGAGAAAAATTAATCAGCTAAATTTTACACCTTGGAATGTGACTGTTTAATCGTGGAAAGTAACTGAATAATTTTGGAATCGGGTAGAGATAAAAAATTAAAGCCAGATATTTAGAGGAAAAAAACAGTTTCTACTGGACATGGTTTGCAGCAGTTATTAAAAAAACAATCAGACTAATCCTTCTTTGTACCCCAAAGATCGGGCTGTTTGGTGTATTTATTATGCAGGAACCACCACCCCATAAAGTGGCTGCTTTTAAAATTTTTATTGACATTTCCTGTATTATATTCATCCCTGAAACCTTCACAGCAGCCAAGTCGAACTTTTCTTGTCAGCAGAGGAAAAAACAATTCAGTGTCATTAAACACTTTGAAACTGCCATTATAACTCATTCTCTGATGAAGGCAATATACTGGAAATGAATTATCAAGGAGAAGATAAACAAAGAAAATTGAAGGGAAATCTTCCGACGCTGGAGGACTATCTTTTTACTTTTAGCCTGCTCTGCACTGTAACTCAGAAGTGGAGGTATGTGTGGGTGTGGGAGTGGGACTGATGCTTGCAGGCTGCCTTTCCCAGGTTCCAGTGACAGCTGGCTTGCAGCTGGTTTTGGTCAAAGGGAGACTAAAAAGGAAATGAAGAGTAGAAGGGATGCAGAGAGAGGCCAGGGTCTTTATCTCCCTCCTCTGGTCGGGTGGGTTCTTCTACAGCATCAGAGTCTCTGGCTCCAGCCTCCCCCAGACAGGCCTTAGATGATTCCAGCTTCTACTGTGTGAGCATAGTTGGGTTCTGGTAACAACTTACCTTATACGCTGGAGCCTCGGGGCTTCTGTTGCCTCTTACTGCTGCCAGTTTCAGGGCTTCCTCCCCATCAACTGCTGGCATCTCATCTTTTCTATTTCCTGTTTAAATAATCCCTTTATAAATTCCTCATGTTTCAAATATGCAGAATTATTTTTTCCTGATTCAGGATGTGACTGGAAATTGTGAAGTAAAAAGAAAATGAACTTCAGAACAGTCATATATGAAGACAGAGAAAATTAAGAGAGAATAGCAAGTATTCTGATAGAATATTAACCAATATATATTATCCTCTTCTACAGAACCTTTAACCTACTATTTTTAACTTTTGAACTTGATTTTGTTGCCACATCTCATCAGTCATCCTATCACAACAGCAATATAGCATAACGACTAAGAACATAATTTCTGAAACTGTACAATCTAGGTTTAATCCTAGTTTTAGCTTCGTAACCATAGGTAAATTATTTAATGTCGGTGCCTTAGTTTCCTCATCTGCAAAATGAAGGTAGTGATAATACCTATGTTATATGGAGTTGAATTATGTAAAAAGGCAGCATTTAGTAAATGTTATTTAATGCATGTGTTTACTTACTTTATTTTATATAGTAAACTTATAAACAAACTGATATTGGCAATGCTGCCTTTCCCATATTATAATTTTTATGTCAGATCACAGCTTTCAAAGAATTTTTAGACACATGACTTCATTCCACTTAACAATTTAGTTGAAGTAAGTAAAATAGGCTTTATTATCCCAATACAGATAATAAAACTTAATCTGTAAGAGATCACTAGCAAGAGAGAGATAAGCAAAATTAAAACAAGTCTGTTGATCCCTAGTTGAGAACTTTTCTGTGACATCATTAGTCACATTTTTGGGATACTACCATACTTACTTTTAACACATTCTCTTAACTTCACCTTGCCAAAATAATGTATAAAGAGTAAAAATAGTTGAGCGCCAATGATTAAATATAATCTCATAGGTAGCTTTCTTACATTTAATATTTTCATTTTTAAGAAAAAATCATCACATATTTATAATATCAAGAAAACAAAAACAAATTGGAAGGAGCAACCAATGATAAAACTAACAAAGTAGTTAATATAGAATCAAGAGATGGGTACTCTACAATTTGAAAGCATGGAATTAACCCTGAGTTATAAGACTCTGTGGGGAAGGTAGACAACTTCAGAGATAACATACTGAAAAGACCTAGAAGAAAGAGAGACATGTAGGTGGGATATAATTCATAAGCTCTATTACCTCAGGTTCATTCAGTGTAATGAGTTATTTTATTCATCATTGTTTCCAAGGAAACAATAGTTAACTCATTTCATGGTTTAATATCTTGCAATCACATATACCATTTTATACATGACATGAACATAATGGTTCTTACTCTACAATTCATCTATGTGCTTAAAACTCCCACGTACAGTACACATTGAAAGCAGTTAAACAGTGAATTTAACCTGAATAATTACATAGTACTTTAGGTATTTTCTCACTATATTCAATGATCTAATGTTAAAAATAGACCACTACACCCACATTTATTCAATCGGGTAGCCAGAATATATTTATTTGCTTTCATTATTATATTAACATAAAATATGTCATTAATTCTTTAAAATGAATTTTGAATTATGAGTTATCAGTGCATGCCAGTCTTTTCAAATATTTTTCTTATACAACTCTCATGATAAAAACATAAACATAACATGCATATATGCAAGAAAAAGTAAAAACTTTGAAGATTTCCAAACTGTGCCTCATGAAAACAACATTTTTCTTCATATTTGTTACAAATGCAGCCAAATTTTTAAGTAAAAGTTTTCTAAACTTTTAAGACACAGAATATTTGAAACCTTGTAAAAGCTTACATTTATAATGTTCAGTAATTCATTCATATATTTGATATCTTGGACAGACACTATTCTATGAATAGGAAAACATATTATCTAGAAATAATTACATCATAAAATTGATTAGCATCAGGTAACAGAAAGATAGCATTAATGAGTTCAGTCTTGATAATGAGGACGTATAGATTGCTAAGTAAAACTTAGAGGCACTCCAAACACAACACTGGCAGAAAAGAAGGGCTATCAGAGAAAATATAGCATAGTACAACATTATTGCAAAAATAGAAAAAGAGATCATTTGCAAGATTTCAAGTAGCTGTTCAAATACTTTTAGATCATTGTAGAAAAAGAAACACTTAAGGACAGAAAACTGCACTTTGTGAGCATGCATAGACAAATCATGGAAATTTCCATAAATTATTAATAAGTATTCTGATGCAAAGAGTTGACAATTCTAGTGGATCTCAATTTAGGATGAGAATCCTGAGTCATAGTCATATAGAAAAGATTAGTAAAACTGAATTATTCAGTAAGCAAATATTTCCCTAGATCAGAAGAGATGAAATTTTCAAACTCTACAAGGTAAGGATTTTTACAGTTTCTGAGAGAAGGTAACGGAAATATTTTTAGAGCTCTGGCTTTGTTGATATCTACATCTGTTTATAACTAGCTAGCTGGTTAGTTTTTTGTGTGTGTGTGCTTTAAGTATATTTTAAATATCCTAAACAAAATATTAGCAAAGTGAATCTAACAAACATATGTAACATTTTGTTGAGAATATTCTTATAGAAAGAATAATACACCACGAACAAGTGGGATTTATTTCAGGGATGCAAGACTGGTTCAACATTTAAAAATCAATTAATGTTATCCATCACATTGACAAACTAAAGAGGAAAAGTCATATATTAATAAATGAAGAAAAAGCAGTTGAAGAAATTCAACATTCAAGATTAAAAATAACAACAAATTAGGAGAGGACTTCCTGAACTTGTTAAGGAACATCTACAAAATCCTATAGCTAACATCATACATAATGGTGAGAAACACAAATCTCTTACACTAAGTTCAGGGAAAAAGCAAGACTGTTCTTTATCCCCATAGCTTTTCAACATTATATAGGAAATTAAAGCTAATGCAATGAAAAAGAAAAGAAAAGGTAGATAAATTGGAAAAGAAGAAATTAAACTGTCTTTGTTTCTCAGGTGACATGTTTACCTATGGAGAATATCCAAAGAAACTGACAAGAAAAAAAATCTGAAACTAATAAGCAATTATAGCAAGGTTTCAGAATAAATGATTAATGTACAAAAGACAATAACTTTTTTATGCACCACCAATTAAAAATGAGACTTGAATTGTAAAATACAATGTCACTCATATTAGCACCCAAAAATGAAATAGAAATAAATGAAGCAACATATGTACAAGATCTATATGAGAAAAACTATAAAAATCTGATAAAATATCTATGAAGAACTAAATAAATGAAGAGAGTCCATGTTCATGGAAAGAAAGACTAAATATTGTCAAGTTGTCAGTTCTTTCCAACTTGATCTACAGACTCAACACAATCTCATTCAAAACCTCAGCAAATTATTTTGTGGACACCAACAAACTGAATCTAAAGTTTATATGGTGAGGCAAAAGATGCAGAACAGCTAGCACAATACTATGAAAAGAGCAAATCAGAGTACTTACACTGTCTAATTTCAAGCCTCACAATGAAGTCACAGTAAGTAAGAAAGTGTGATATTGGCAAAAGAATAGACAAATAGATCAATGGAACAGAAATAGGTACACATAAATGTAATTAACTGATTTTTGACAAAGAAGCAAAGCAAAACAAAGATAGTTGCTTCAATAAATGGTTCTGGAACAAATGGATAGCCACATGCCAAATTTAAAAATAGAAGAAGAATTTAGGCACAGACGTTATACCCTTTACAAAAATTAATTCAAAATGGAAGCTGGACCTAAATGTAAAGTGCATATCTATAAAATTCTTAGAAGATAACAGAAGAACAAGTAATCAAATTTGGGTATGCTGTTGACCTTTTAGATAAAACACCAAAGGAGTAAACCATGAAAAAATAATTGATAAGCTGAAATTTATTAAAATTAAAAACTTTGACTGTGAAAGACAATGTCAACAGAATGAGAAGATAAGCCACCAACTAGGATAAAATATTTATAAAAGACGCATCTAAAAAAGGCCTGTTATTCAAAAGATACAAAGAACTCTTAAAGCTCACCAAAGAAGAGTTTTCATAAGCATATGAATAAAATGTTCAGCATCACATGTTGTTAGGGAATTACAAATTGAAACAATGAGATACCACTCTATACCCATTAGAATGGCTAAAATCTAGAACACTGACAACATCAAGTTCTAGTGAGGATGTGAAACAACAGGATCTCTCATTCATTGCATTTGGGAATGCAAAATGATGTAGCCACTTTGAAAGACAGTTGGCAGTTTCCAAAACTAAACACACTCTTATCATATTATCCAGAAGTCACCCTCCTTTGTATTTACCTAAAGGAGTTAAAAACTAATTAACATACAAAAACTTGCAGGAGGATGTTTTAACAGCTTTATTTATAATTGCCAAAACTGAGAAGTAACCAAGATGATCTACTTTAGGAATGGATAAATAAAGTGAAGTAATCCAGAAAATTGAACATTATTCAGTACTAAAAAGAAATGTGCCATCAAAATATGAAAAGACATAGATGAAGTTTAAATGCTTATTACTAAGTAAAATACACTTGTCTGAAAAGGCAACATACTGTATTATTCCAATTATATAACATTCTGGAAAAAGCAAAATTGGTGTGGTCACACTGCCTCTCTAGATTCCTCCTCTCTGGGCAGGACCTCTCTGAAGGAAAGGCAGCAGCCCCAGTCAGGGGCTTATAGATAAAACTCCCGTCTCCCTGGGACAGAGCACCTGGGGGAAGGGGTGGCTGTGGGCACAGCTTCAGCAGACATAAACTTTCCTGTCTGCCAGCTGTGAAGAGAGCAGATCTCCCAGCACAGAAGTCAAGCTGTGCTTCCTCAGGTGAGTCCCTGACCCCCATGCCTTCTGACTGGGAGACACCTCCGAGCAGGGGTCAACAGACACCTCATACAGGGGAGCTCTGGCTGGCATCTGGTGGGTGCCCCTCTGGGGTGAAGCTTCCAGAAGAACAAGCAGGCAGCAATCTTTGCTGTTCCACAACTTTTGCTTGTGATACCCAGGCAAACAGAGTCTGGAGTGGGTCTCCAGCCAACTCCAGCAGACCTGCAGCAGAGGCCTTG